GCGGTCAATTTTAGAGAAAGTTCCAGGGGTACTTAATGCAAAGTTTATTCTTTGGTGCGTGGGTGGAATATTCAGTAGATGTGTGTTAGATGCATTTGATGTATGATATCATTTAATTCAGTTGTATCTTTATTTATTCTTTGTCCAGTTGAACTGTCTACTAAAGATAGTGGGGTATTGAAGTCCCCTACTCTTACTTATTTGGGGTTAATCTGTGTTTTAAAGTCCTGTAGTACTGCTTTTATGAAATTGGGTGCACTTGAGTTTGGTGCATAGATGTCCATGACTGTAGTGTTGTCTTGGTCAATTGTTCCTTTGATCAGAGTGAAGTGATCCTCTTTATCTCTCCTGATTATTCTTAGTTTGAAGTCTATTTTGTTAGATATCAGAATTGCAACCCTTGCTTGTTTATTAGTGCTAGTTGTTTGGAATATTTTTTCCATCTTTTCATCCAAAGGTGATTCCTGTCTTTGAAAGTGAGATGAGTTTCTTTCAGACAACAAAAAGATAGATTTTATGTCTTAACCCATTCAACTAGCCCTTGTCTTTTGACTGGAGAGTTCAGGTCATTGATATTTAAAGGTATTATTGAAAGATGTGTATTGGTCACTGTCATTTTAATTTCTCTTTGAATTCTTGGTCTAATTTTGTTTTTCCATGATTTTACCTTCATTTAGATTCTTTCTGTTGCCTCTTGGACATAGTTGTTCCTTTCTCCATTCTTTGTATTGCTTCAGGTATTCTCTGAAGGGCTGGTTTGGTAAATTTTCTCTCAGCCTATTCATGTCATGGAAGATTTTTCTTGCCCTTTCAACTGTAATAGACATTTTTGCCTGGTAAAGTATTCTGGGTTGGCATCTATGGTCATTTAGAACCTGGTATACTCTGATCCAGGCTTTCAGTAGTTTGCATTGAAAAGTCAGCTGTAATTCTGATGGGTTTTCCTGTATATGTGACTTGTTGTTTTACTCTTTCAGCTTTCAGAGTTTTCTCTTTGTTCTGTACATTTAGTGTTTTTACTATGATGTGCTGTGGGTAGTTTCTTCTCTGGTCCTGTCTATTTGGTATTCTATGTGCTTCTTGTATTTGTATGGGTCTTTCCTTAATTTTGGGAAAATTTCTTTTACAATCCTATTGGAGATCTGGTCAATACCATTATCTTGGGATTTTTCTCCTTCCTCTATGCCTATGATGTGTAAATTTGGTCTTTTGTGGCGTACCAATTCCTGCATATTCCATTCATGTGTGTGTGTCTGTCTGTCTGTCTGTCTGTGGTTTTTTGTTAATTATTTTTTTAGGTTTTCATAATCTTTGCTTGAGCAATCCAGTGCTTCAACTCTGTTGTTCAATCTTGATATTCTGTTTTCTATTTCATTCATTCGATTGGTGAGGCTTTGTCCTGTCATTTCAAATTGTCTTATTGAGTTTTTCACTTCCTCCTTCATTTCAGCCCGAGTTTTCTTCAATATTTCTATCTCTTTTGTGAATTTGGTCAGAAGTTTATCCCTATTTTCTTTTACTTATTTAATTTTTTTGTGTGTTCTTTAAATTTGTTGAATTCTTTGACATATTTATGATTGTTTTAAATCTGTGTCCTGGGTTATCCCTATTTTAAATTTGTGTCCTAGTATATCTTCTATTAGACTGCTGGTGTTTCATGGAAGCATATTATTTTGGTTTTTCATATTAGTATTTTTTCATTGTGGTTTTGGCATGTGGATTTCTTTTGTTGCCTGTGATTCTGGTATGAACTCTAGCCTTCCTTTGTTGAGTTGAAGTCTGATTTTGTTTGTATATTGATGTAACTTGGTTGTTTTCTAATTGGGTATGAAAAGCTGGTTGGTCTTGCCTTCAGGGTCTCTCTTTTGATTTTATATTAGAGGGACCAGATGGCTCCAGTCCAGCTACTCAAGAGCTCTGCAAGAGTAGGACACAGTCCTGGTTACTTAGAAGTACTTCAGAAGCCTCAGATGGGTAGTGCCAAGGTCCAAGGAAAGTAGATGGGAGATGGAAGTACTGGTCCCTATTTCTTGGCAGGGAAGCCTAAGTCCTGTCGCAGTAGGAGATACTACAGATGGTTCAAGAGCAGGGCATGCCGACGTTTAGGAAGCTCACTTTGCAGAGGCCCAAGTCAGGTGCTCCAAAGAACTGGGCCCCTACTAGCCAGTAGGGAAGCCTGGCCCTGGGGCAGTGGGAGGAACTGCAGATGGTTCCAATGTATGGGGGTGGGCATGGTATGATTTGGGAAGCTTAACAGCCAAGGCCCAAGTCAAGTGTGAGTCAGATGCTCTTGGCAGTCTTATAAGGTCTGTGTCCCTACTAGCCAGTAGGCATGGCCTGATTTGAGAAGCTCACCACTGCCTAGGCCTCATTCAGGTGCTCTCCAGCACTCATCTTTCTATGCCTACTTATTTCACTTAATATCAGTATTATGTATATAATACTTTATTTGTACATTCATCTGTCATTGAACATATGGATAATTCTGTATCTTGGCTATTGTTAATAGTGCTGCAATAAAAGGAGTACAGATGTTTCTTTGACACACTGATGTCAACTCTTTTGGATACATATCCAATAGTGGGATTGCTACTTCATCAGACAGTTCCAGTGCTTTTTAGGAATCTCCATACTGTTTCCCATAGTAGCTATGCTAATTACCATACCTACAACAGGGTATGAGAGTTTCTTTCCCTCCATTTCTTTGCCAGAATTTATTAGTGTTTGTCTTTTGGATAGTAGCCATTCTGACAGGGGTAAGATCATTTTTTATTGTGGTTTTGGTTTACTCTAAAAATGCATTTGACTTTTGTCTATTCGTCTTGAATCATGCAAGCAATCATTCTTGACCTTAATGTGTGAATCGTTTAATGAAATTAAAATCCATTTTTTCTATGGGGAAGTTGGGCAAACAAAAATGTATTATCTTGTATGGCAAGCAAGTAGGCTAGACTTGTGCTAAACACTAATTCCTCAAACTACTTGAAAGCAGTAATTATTACCTCCATTTTTTAAAGTGAGGAAACAGTTGCTGAATCTTTACAATTGTGTGTGTAGGTATTAATACAATTGTGTTAGTTGAGAAATCACAACTATTTATATTCCATAATAATTTTTTAATGTTCCAACTTTATTTTATGGCTTTCTAATTGTCCTTCTTCCTCTTAAAATCTTTAGTTAGCGGGTTTCATTATGACATTTTCATACAGATGTATCATTGTACTTTGCTTATATTGACCCCTCAGCTCCCTCATTTACCCTCTCTTGTCCCTCCTTCTTCCTCCTACTGGTCACCTTCCACTAAGAACACTGTGTCAGTTGGCTAAAGTTAAGTGCCTGAGTAATTAATTTCCTATTTTAAATCCAAATGCTTAATAGCAGATCACCAAAGTTCACATATTTAACTGCTTCTTGATACCATTCCAAAAAGATGAGTCTCTTAGTCTTTCCTCCTATCAATAGGAAGTTAATAACAGAAGCTTTGAGATAGATAAAGCCTGTTGTGTACAGCTTTTTTTAAGTAAACTCTCTAGAGGTACAAGAGAAATACATGTATGTGACGCATGATCTTCTTGAGGATGTTTGTGCCCATTTAAGCACCGACCACCATCAGAACAGACAAGTGCACTTGTGAATCATAAGTGAGGTAGGGCAGGAGAACTCTCCCTTTCACCACATGGGATATCCCAATACTGTTCTCTAGAATTACATTATATATCTTGTGGCCAGCAAGGTTATCTGATCAAGCAATCAAGCATATTTGGAAACTGGTCATGTGTATTCTTTTTTTTTTGGTCTTTTGGAAATAGTGTCTCCCTGTAGCCCCAGCTGACATGGAACTCACTATGTAGACCAGGCTGGCCTTAAACTCACAGAGATCTGCCTACCTTTGCTCTTAAGTGCTAGGACTAAAGGCATACACCACCACACCCAGCATATGTATTAAGATATTATTTAGTTAAAAAAATTTAATTCGTATTAATTAAATACAAATTAAAGGTATTATATTAAAAAGGTGGGTTTTTTGGCAGTCTTTTTTTTTGAGACAGGGTCTCCCTGTAGCCCCAGCTGCCCTGGAACTCACTATGTAGACCAGGCTGGCCTTGAACTCACAGAGATCCACCTGCCTCTGCCTCCCAAATACTGGGATTAAAGGTGTCCGGCTTAAAAAAAAAAAAAGTTTGATGTGACCTTTATAAAGACAACTTTATCATCTACATAGATATAATATTACCAAACTTCTGATCAAAAACTAATTTTCTCACAGAACACATATCACAAAATCTAAGAAACTGGAAGCATACTTTGTGATAAATGAAAATTTTCCCCAAGAGGCTAATAATTATTCAAAACTTTTTTATTAGCAACCAGTGTTCTCAATCACTGAGCCAGTTCTCCATCTCCTCTAAAAATTTCCTGAATATATGAAGTCTACCAAAATAATCTTTATGTGGTTCAATTTTCTTATTTTCTATGTATAAAATATGGTTATTAAATATTAAATCATCTAATATTTGTAATGTATGCACTATTGTTTGGCCTATAGGAAGTTAGTAATAAATGAGATGTAAGCGTTTGCCAAATAAAATATACTTTAAACATAATTATATTACAATAAAACAGTATGATACAACTCTATTAAAATATTCATTTACTGCTTCATAATTTGCTATCAAGATTCCTTTACTATATTGTAATCTGTTTTCAAAGTCTACATTAACCTTGAAAATCATAAAAACTATAATCTCAATTTTTATTTTGTGCTGAAATCTCAGGACCAATTGTATGCATGATAGGAGAGCCTTATCAAGCCAGTGGTGCCTGATTTTGGCTTCCAACCCCATTGGGATGCCTCATCGCAGACTAAATAAAAAATGAGGTTTCACTTTAAGTCATTTGTCATGAGTCAAAAATGTCTAAGAAAAGTAATTTCTTTCATACTAGTAAGGTAAATTTTAAAGATTTCTCTATTGAATTCTTCAAAATTGCTTTGTTTCTAGGTTTCATTTTCTAGCAGGTGAGCCCAGAGGAGAAGTCCTTGACAATTCTTTCACTGGAGGAATATGTAAAACTGTCAAAAGTAGCAGAGCAAGTAATCCATACCGAGTTTCAGCCAATCTGGAAAATGTCAACTTTGAGGTATGACAGTGTATCATGGTAGCGGCTCCAACACTGAAATGACTATAAGCCAAATTCCTAGTGGAAAATTTGTGATGAATGAAGGGACAGAGGGAAAAGGTAATGAACAATTTGAATCAAGTATCATATGTTTATATTTAATCCTTCCAAAACCTAGTCAGGTCAGAATTATTTTCATTGCTTTACAGGTGGGAATAAAAAATATCTAATTTGCACAAAATCAAACAAGACAGTAAGTCATAAACTATATATTTAAGCTGAAATTTCCCTGATTTAGGTTTGTCTCCTCTACATGAACATACAACTCTAGGACATATCCACATTGGGGGAGGGCTTAATTTGGGGCCTGGAGAAATGGCTCAGCAGTTAAGAGCACTGACTGCTCTTGCAGAGGACCCGGGTTCGATTCCCAGAACACACATGGCAGCTAACAACCATCCATAACTTCAGTTCCAGGGGTTAATTTATTCAGAATATTCTCACATCGTAGCTAAATATCTTATGTAACTGTAAGACAGGCATAAAAAGTGTCACCTTTCTAAGAAGCAACACGTTAAGTCTAAATTTGATGAGAGAGTTTGGCTTGCCTTCTTCCTATTTTATTGGTTTGCTTGTTTTCCTCAATGGTAGTGAGCAGCATACTACACTGGTGACTGCTAACCCAGTGACTTGAAAATGTGTGGTCCCACAATGGAGGAAAGACAACATCTTTAACAAATGGTGCTGGCAAAACTGGATCTCCACCTGTAGAAGAATGAAACTAGATCCCTTTCTTTCGCCTTGCACAAAAGTCAACTCCAAATGGATCAAAAACCTCAATGTGAAACTGGAAACCCTGAAACAGAAGAAAATATTGGCAATAACTTACAGGATATAGGTGTAGGAAAAGATTTTCTAAATCAGACAGAAGTTGCTCAGGAAATTAAG